AATGTGTATTCTGCTGCTTTCAGATGGAATGTTCTGTATACACCTATGAAGTCAATCTGGTTTAATGTGTCATTTAACACCAGTGTTTCCCTATTGATTTTCTGTCTGGAGAATCTGTCCATTGATGCAAGTGGGGTAATTAAAGTCCCCTACTGTTATTGTGATACTGTTAACTTCTCCCTTTATGTCTGTTAATATTTGCTTTAAGTATTTAAGTGCTTCTATGTTGGGCGCATAATATTTACAATTGTTATATCGTTTTGTTGGATTGATCCCTTGATCGTTATGTAATGTCCTTCTTTGTCTCTTGTTACAGTCCTTGTTTTAAAGTCTCTTTTGTCTGATATAAGCATTGCTAACCCAGCTTTCTTTTGGGAAAACAACCCCATTCACAATTGCATCAAAAAGAATAAAATACCTAGGAATAAATCTAACTAAGGAGGTAAAAGATCTGTACTCATTAAACTATAAGATACTGATGAAAGAAATAGAAGATGACACAAACAGATGGAAAGAGATACTGTGTTCATGGATTGGAATAATTAATATTGCTAAAATGACCATACTGCCCAAGGTAATCTACAGATTCAGTGCAATCCCTATAAAAATACCAATGGCATTCTCCACATAACTAGAACAAATAATCTAAAATTCGTATAGAAACACAAAAGACCCCAAATAGTCAAAACAATCTTGAGAGGAAACAAAGCTGCAGGTATCACACTCTCTGAATTCAAAATATATTACAAAGCTACAGTAATCAAAAGTATGGTACTGGCAAAAAAAACAGTACATAGACCAATGGAACAGAACAGAGAGCCCAGAAATGAACCCACACATATGTGGGTGATTAATCTATGACAAAGGGGACAAAAACATACAGTGGGAAAAAGACAGCCTCTTCAATAAACAGTGTTGGGAAAACTGGACAGCTACATACAAATGAATGAAACTGGAGTATTCTCGCATATCATACACAAATTCAAAATGGATTAAAGACTTAAATGTAAGACCTGAAACTATAAAACCTCTAGAAGAAAACACAGGCAGTAAGTTATTTTACATGAGACTTGCAATACATATTTTTGACATGTCTCCTCAGGCAAAGGAAACAAAAGCAAAAATAAACAAATGGGACTACATCAAACTAAAAAGCTTTTGCACAGTGAAGGAAACTATAAACTAAACGAAAAGACCACTTACTGAATTGCAGAAGATATTTGCAAATAATATACCTGATAAAGCATGAATGTCCAAAATATACAAAGAACTCATACAACTCAACATCAAAAAAAGAAACAACCCAATTTAAAAATGGGCAGAGGACTTGAATAGACATTTTTCCAAAGAAGACATATAGATGGCCTAAAGGCACATGAAAAGATGATCAACATCACTGATCATCAGGGCAAGGCAAATCAAAACCACAATGAGATATCACCTCACACCTGTCAGAATGGCTATTATCAAAAAAACAACAAATAACAAGTGTTGGTGAGGATGTGGAGAAAAAAGAACCCTCACGCACTGTTGGTGGGAATGTAAATTGGTGCAGCCACCATGAAAATCAGTAAGGAGAGTCCTCAAAAAATTAAAAATAGACCTACCACACTAACAAACATAGTAAGGTAGATAGCTAGTGGGAAGCAGCCGCATGGCACAGGGATATTGGCTCGGTGCTTTGTGACAGCCTGGAGGGGTGGGATAGGGAGGGTGGGAGGGAGGGAGACGCAAGAGGGAAGACATATGGGAACATATGTATATGTATAACTGATTCACTTTGTTATAAAGCAGAAACTAACACACCATTGTAAAGCAATTATACCTCAATAAAGATATTAAAAAAAAAATAGACCTACCATATGATCCAGCAATTCTGCTCCTTGGTATTTATCTAATTAAAATAAGTATAGGAGTTCCTTGGTGGCGCAGTGGTTAAGAGTCCACCTGCCAATGCAGCGGACACTGGTTTGAGCCCTGGTCTGGGGAAGATCCCACATGCCACGGAGCAACTAAGCCCATATGCCACAACTACTGAGCCTGTGCTCTAGAGCCCGTGAGCCACAACTACTGAGCCCGAGTGCCACAACTACTGAAGCCTGCGTGCCTAGAGCCCATACTCCGCAACAAAGAGAAACCCCCTCAATGAGAAGCCCATGCACCACAACAAAGAGTATCCCTCGCCCCCTGCAACTAGAGAAAGCCTATGCACAGCAACAAAGAACCAATGCAGCCAAAAATAAAAAATAAATAAATTTTTAAAAAAAGAAAAGAAATATGTGCACCCCTATGTTCATTGCATCATTATTTATAATAGCCAAGATATGGAAGCAACTTAAGTGCCCATAAATAGATGAATGAAGAAGATGTGGCATATATACAATGGAATATTAATCAGCCATAAAAAAGAATGAAATCTTGCCATTTGTGACAACATGGATGGACCTAGAGGCTATTATGCTAAATGCAATAAGTCAGACAGAAAAAGACAAATATGATTTTGTTTATATTTGGAATCTAAAAAAACAAAACAAATGAACAAACATTAAAAAAAAACAAACAGAAACAGACATAGGAAACAAACAAGTGGTTGCTGGAGGGGAGGGAGAAGGGGAAGGGGATGGAGAGAGGAAAGAAGTAGGTGCAGGAGATTAAGAGGTACAAACTTCCAATTACAAAAAAAATTTATTCCTAGGTATTTTATTCTTTTAATGCAATTGTAAATGGACTGTTGTCTTAATTTCTCTTTCTGATAGTTTGTTATAGAGTATAGGGTTTTCTATATACAATATCACATCATCTGCAAATAGTACCAGTTTTACTTCTTCCTCTCCAATTTGGATGCCTTTTATTTCTTTTTCTTAACTAAAGTGCTCTGGCTAGGACTTCCAATACTATGTTGAATACAAGTGGTGAGAGTGGGCAACCTTGTCATTTTCCTGATCTTAGAGGAAATACCTTCAGTTCTTCACCACTGAGTACGTTGTTAGCTGTGGGCTTCTCATATATGGCCCTTATTATGTTGAGGTAGGTTCCCTCTATAAGCACTTCATTTCCCACTTTGTTTAGTTCTTTAATCATAATTTCCTTCAGTCCTTTGAACATATATATAAAATGGTTACTTTGATATCTTTGTTAAACCTGACATGTCGTTGATCTCACAGGACATTTCTGTCATGTCCCCCTTCCCACCACCCTACACATGGGTCAGACTTTCTTGTTATTTTTGTTTTTTTTCATATCGCCTAATTTTTGTTGAAAACTGGACATTTTAGGTAACACTGCAGCAATTCTGGGTACTGATCCTCTCTACCCCACACCCCAGGGCTTGTTATTATTATTTGCATATTTGCTTAGTGAATGGCTGGATGACTTTAGTGAAGTTAATCCTACCTCCCGTTCAATTGTGAAGTCTTTGATATTGCTCCTCAGGGAGTGCAGCCTTGTGAGTGCCCACAGTTATGATGGGATGGCAGTGGTTTTGGCAAGGTTTTCTTTGTTAAATGCTCACACCCAGCTGGTTGCTCTACATTTTCAACAATGACCTGGGACCTAAATTGCTCCAGAGTGATCCAATTAAATTCGGGCTCCTTTGAAAGAACAGTTTTGGAGGTCAGTGTTTGAGATTCGTTTTGACCCCAGGAGGGCTCTTCTCCGCTGTTTCTTTCCCTGGTTCTCTCTGTTAATCTACCTGGCCTGCAGTTCAGCTGAGACCTCTAAATTTTACCAATTGCCTCTAGTAACTTTCACCACCACCTCCACTGTTTTTTGAGGAACATCTTAAGCTTCAGTGTGTCCAAACTATGTGCAAATGAAGTCACTTCCTTTGGTAAGAGATCTAGAGCTTTTTTTTTTTTTTAATGGTCTGCTTCTCCCAGTGGGCAGAATCTCTGAGCCAGAGCGCTGGAACTGGGATGTAAGATAATGACGCACTTCTGAGTAACACCTATGCTTCAGGACATGTGTTTGGTAGAGGGGGAGCAGTAAACTCAGGTCTTCTTGGCTTGCCACTCCCACTGTGGAACATCCATAGACAAGAGGAATCAGGCCCCGCTATTGTCAGTGACACCAGGCCCAGGTAAAGCCTCCATCCAACAAGTTAGGGGTGGCCAGAGGGAGTTCCAACCTCTTGATTACACATGCCCAGAACCAAGCCTCACAATAGGCAGGTGGGAGGAAGATGAGAAATGCTGAAGTCCTTCCTCTTCTGGGAAAACAGTCCTCCAACTGGGAGCTGAGGGGAGAGGGAGCCCTGTGTTCTTGGCCATACCAGTCTGAGTGGAGTTTCTGTCTTGCTGAGCTGGGAGGCAATGGGTCTTGGTTCAAATGATGTAGTCTCTAACTGTTCTTAGGTTTCAGAAGATTTTCTTTAATAAATGTTTATTTGCTATATGCCCTTAGGACCATTTCTAAGACTTTAAATGGTTGTTTTTAAAAAATAACTTTCATCATTTTCATTGGGAAGCACATGTGCAGTAACACCACATGTGGAACCCACAATAAGCTCATAACACTGACTCTTTCATATTGTGCACACTCAATGACATTTTAAATGCAATGAGAACAAGTACTAAATCTTAAAAAAGGCATTCCTTATTTAGAGTCTCTGAATTTTCACAAGTCAGACTTGCTTACAAATTACAAATTTTTCTTCTAGGATTCAAATCCAAAGTAATAATTCATACACTTGAATTTGCCGTACAAATACAACCCATTTAGTCAAATATGCTATAGCAAATTACATTTACTTGACTATCTTATAGCTCAGTTACTGCATAATAGCTACACAACATTCTTTATTGGCTCCTATTAGCTTTGCCAAAGTAAATAATCAGTCATTCTAGGACTGGATTATGTTGGCCATAAAGTCATGATTACAAATACCTTAATACTATAATTAATATATTTATCTCTATCACTTAGGTTAAATACTTTATAACTGATTTCTATTCTTTAAGGTTAATATACGAAAATGTTTAAGAACACATTTTTAACCTTACCATATTAGGATCATACCCCAGAGAAAACAAGTATGGTTTTTCTTGTAAAATTGCTTCCTTCCACTTTTCATCAGATACCAAACCAATGTACCAGTCACTTTCATATTCTTCAAGGCAGTTAGTCAGCTCTTTAAAGTCTTCTATTGGACCTAAACTCGCTTTATCAATCATTAGTTTCAGAGTATACCTAAAAAATGGAGAAACAAAGAATTTTAGAATTTTTAAAATCAACTTTATAGATGAAATAGATTTTTAAAGACACTGAACTGAAATCATATATATTTCAGAAAAAAAGATCTGGGAGAAATGATAAGAGTTAAAGCAAAACAATCCAGTAAGCCATACAAAAAACAGGTTCTCCACATAAAAAGAAAGTACAAATTTAAGTGTGCTCCCGATATAATCAGAGTACATACCAAGCATTTTTCATTTTTTGGAAAGTGATTATTTTTTAAAATTAGAAATGAAAGAGCATCTCCTTCTACGTTATAAAAAAATCAACATTTTTGGGCCAATGTTACAACTTATATGTAATCAAAATGAATTACCTGAAAGCTTTTAGGGCTAGTTGGAACAGTTCTGGCTTTTCTGTGAGCCAATCCAAGGCAAGAGACCAAGGGAAAACACCACTGTAGACTCTCAATATATGACCAGGACTAGGAATCATATTGTCTTCTCCAAACAAACTAAAATAACAAGTCATTACTGCATGAACATAAAAGTCTTTTAAAACTTTGTCCTTTGCAATTTCTTCCACTACATTTGAGGCATTTTCTTCTGAATGAAAACATTCCAACTGCCTTAAAACAAAGTGGTACCAGTCTTCTGGAAATAATGAGCTCATCTCCTTCACTTTGGAATTAGGCAAACAATTAGATATCCACTCTTCAGGTAAGCTTAACAAGTGAGAATGAGAACAACTGAACTCCATGAGAGGGATGTATGCCATGGCTTCTTGTTTCCCTTTGTCAGTAGCAGGGTATCCCAATGCAACTGCTTGGTAAAGACTATTTTCAGTAACTGTGCCTGTAGAATGTTTACCAACCCTCTGTGATTCCACTGATCCTGGAATAGGCAAATTTATACCTGGCAAAACTTTCAACTGATCTTTTTCTTCTTTTCCTTTTTTGATAGTTGGCTCTTCACCAAAAACATCATCAGACCAGTCATCCAAATTTTCTGAATTTAAACTATCTGTGTCTTCTGGGGATTCGGTTTGTGGTGAAGTATTCAAAGGAGGAAGGATTATTAGAGATGCTTTCCCTTTATTTTCAGTTTTGTGAACATCTTCCTGCATGTTGGACCTTCTGGAACAGTACTGAAGAAGTATCCACACAAGTACTTTAACAAGGTCACCTTTAAATTCTTTTAAGTTGTCATGGGAATCAATTATGCCAGACAGGACATTCCTGGCATCAGAATAGAGTTTCACAGGCAAAACAGTACAGGGTGTCAAGACATTTCCAAAGTGTTCATTAATGGAACATACTCTTGCATATTCTTCTTGTTCAAAGGCACCTTCAAAAACTTCGTCAACTCTTCGAGCTTCAGCAGTATGACAGGATGTCTCTTGCAATTCTAACCCCTAAAGAGGAAATAAGAAAATACTTGAGTTTATGATCACTTATTACACAGAGAAAAGTAACTAGTTTTGTAAATACTCATGGATTGGATTCTCAAAATAAAAATATGTAAAATGCAAAAAAAGTCTTTAACCCAAGAGCTACACCTTAATTCAAACTTAATGACACAATATATTTGATGTTGGATACAGATATGAAAAATAATGATATATTTTTAAAGAAATTTTAGAAATTCCACTGGAAATTAGCAAAACAATTTTAATGAGTATGACCATAATTTTAAGACTGTACATCAAGGTTGAATCACACTTGTTAAAAACTTTTAAAAATTATACAAATTTGAGGGGGGAGCAAAATTGGAACTACACAATATGCACATTAGCTTTGTATCCTTTCCAGCCTACTTTATATGAGAGCAGTATTCTACTATATGGATATGCCATAATTTATCTAACTATTCCTTTGTTCCAGTTAAAAAAATTATAATAACGTAATAATAATACAGATTTATGTATTTGATTATTATCTATCTCCTCCAACTACAATATAAACTCCACAGAGCAGCTCTCTTTTGGTTACTACTGTATCCTCAGTGCCTAAACTAGTAGTTGGCACACAATAAGGGATGCAACAAATATATGCTGAAAGAATGAATACTATGAATATGTCCTTATATGAATTTTAAACCCATTTGATTACTTCACTTGAAGAGGATACCTCAGGTCACTGTTTACTATTATTATTAATTATTGCTTATTTATACATCTTTACAAAACTACCAGTGATTTTAATAAAAGGCAATGCTGTTAGGTTGTATTATGATCCAGGGAAAGAACACGGAATGTGATATCAGAATCTGCTTTTAAATCATGGCTCTGCCAGATGCTAGTACACAATCTTGAGTAGGTCACTTACCCCCTGAGATTCCTTTTGCTTCTCTTTCAAAGAAAAATAACCCTGGCACATAGGGTTGTGAAGAGAAAAGCAAGTAATGAAAGTGTCTTGTCAAATTTAAAGTGTTATATAAATGTTAGTAGATGGTATATCTAAGCAAGCTTGTGTCCGGAAAAATGAAAAAGAAAGAAAGAAAGACTGCCACCAAAAAGTGTATCTATATATCATATATTTCATGGAGCATAAAAGATCAATAAAAGGACCCACATTATTAGGTATTATAAAACTGTACCATTAAAAAAATAGAACTAAATTAAGCAATGAAAATGTCCTCCATATTCTACATGATTTTTTGCCTTCTCCTACTTGTAGATGTTAGACTAGAGCAGTAGTTCTCAAACTTTAGGTAAGTCAGAATCACTGGAAGACTTGTTAAAACACAGACTGCTGGGCACCACCCCCCCAGAGTTTCTGATTCAGTAGGTCTGGGGTGAGGCCTAAGAATTTCCATTTCTAAAAAGTTCCCAGGACATGTTAAAATTACTAATCTGGAGAACTGCATTTTGAGAACCACTGGACTAAAGGAACAGCTTTTTAGTCACCAGCAATTTTATCCAATCCGCATTAAGACAAAAAAATTCATTCATTCACTACTCATTCAACAAATATTTATTAAGGGCCTACTATGTGCCAGGCCCTGTTCCGGGGCTCAGGATATATTCTCCAAATAAAAACAGAGATCCTTGCTCTTGCAACATTTATATTAGAGAGTGGAGGAACACAGGTAATCAACAATAAAATTAATAAGCAAATTACATAGTTTGCTAGAAGGTATAAGTGTTATGAAAATAGAGGAAAAGTAAAGCAAGCAAGGAGGATTGGAAATGCAGGCAGGAATGGGAGTGGGTATTCAATTTTAAATAGGATGCCCACAGTAGACCTCATTGGGAAGGTGACATTTGAGCAAAGCCCTAAAGGTGGTGATGGAGTTAGCTGTGTGGCTGTCTGAGGAAGAGTGCTCCAGGCAGAGGGAACAGCCAGTATGCTGGAGTAGGGTGAGATGGTTAAAGGAGCAGATGAGACCAAATAGGGAGCCTGACCCTTTAGGGCCTTGGCTTTTACTCTGAACAAAAGAAGATATTCACTGTCGGATTTTGAGTAGAGAAGTGACATGATCTGACTTAGATTTTAAAGATCATTCTGGTTGATAATAGGCTGTAGGGGGCCAGAGGCAGAAGCGGAGAGACCAATTAGGAAGTGATTGCAGCTATCCAGGAAAGAAATGAAGGTGACTGAAAGTAGGGTGGTGAGAAGTGGTGGGATACAGGATATGACTTAAAGGCAGAGCCAACAGGATTTCTTGTTGGATTGGATATGCAGTATAGAAGTAAACAAGGAGTCAAATATCACTGGACTAAAGCCCAAATGTTTTTGATCTGAGCCACTAGAGGATGGAGTTGTCAGCAAGGACTGGGGCAGTCTGATATTAACAGGTCAAGGAAAGAGAAGGAACCATCAAAGGAGACTGTCAAGGATTAATCCGTGAAACAAGTGAAGAGATGAACTCTGTCAAATTCTGCTGACAGGTCAAGAACAGGTCTGAGAATCAATCCTTGGATTTAGCAATGCCACAGCCACTGGAGACCTTGACAACAGCAGTTTTTACTAGAGTAATAGGTAATAGGGTCAAAAACCTAGAGTAAGTTGAAGAGAAAAATGGAAGAAATGAAATTGGAGACATGATTATAAGTGACTCTAATAAGGCATTTTGCTCTGAAAGGAGAAAAACAGTATTAGCAGGTAAGGGCAGTGGGGTCAAAAGAAGTTTTTTATATTAAGTTGAGAATGCTTGTATGATATAGGAGTGAAGAAAATATTACTGAGTCACCTTTTTGAGATGCTCAACTAGATAGGGATAAAAAGAATAAGACTGGATAAAAAAGGGGCAAGTGTATTTTGTTACTATGCTCTATCATACAGTCAACACTAGTCTGTCTATCAATATGTGCATACTGAAATACACTTTAACAATCCTAAGTGTTTTCACAAGTAAAAAAATACTCTTCCAAAGTGAGCTGTTAATTCTTTGATGTGTGCATAACAAAATTTTTACACATGTACTAGAGAGGTTTCAAATGCACATTGACCTTAATGTTAATACAGCAATAAGTATAGCCACATTCTAGAATCATTATCCATATTAAACGATCCTGAAAACGGCCCAAGTAATGAGACCCAGGTAAGAGGAGACCTAAAACAAATTAGAAAAAAAAAGTAAGTAATTGTTAAAGCTTGTTTTATTTTGCCACGTGAATCTTTAAAATTAATAACACACTTGGAACTAATTAATAATTCTTTCTACCCTCTTTTTAGGTCAAGAATACAAACAACTATCCATTGCATATCAGGAGGCATTAAATTAAGCTCTTTACAGGAACAGTTGGAAGAGAAAATCTATAGGTGATAATTTATAAGAATTAAGAATATATTTTCCAGAAAAACAACAAATTAGAACCTGTTATGTAAAACCTTAAATACATATTAAATATATTAGGAAAATATATTAAATATATAAAAGCCAACTTCACATTAATGATTTAAAACATTTTGGACATTTTTATATACATGCCTATAAATTTGTGGTGTTAAAAATTTACATAAAATGCTATCTACCACACTGTACAAATACTCTTAAAACTTAGTTTTTCTCTCAACATTGTCTCTGAGACATTATATATCGACTACAAAGCTCCTTCACTGTAACTATACTGAGAATTCATTGTACAAATATAGCTGAATTTAAATATTCATTTCCCTGATAACATTTCAGATGTTTTCCAATTTTTCACTATTATAAATAATGCTGTATAAATTATCTTTGTACAAGTCTGCTTGTACAATGTATTACGTAGAAAGAGTTAACATAGCAGAAATAACTGCTGTCTGTTGAAAGGCCTGCTTACAAAGTTGGCCCTTGGCTGGAAACTGGGAACTTGTATTTCAAAAGAGCTCTCACCACCCTACCTGATAAACAGTCTCGCATTGTGCCTAAACTGTCTGTGCAAAGAATACAGTTTATACTGAGCACTTGCTTTCCTTTTGGGAGCCTGAAATTTTGGTATTTCGTAGGCAGCGGGTGCCTACATGACCAGCCCTCAATATAAGCCTTAGGCATTGAGTCTCAAATAAGCTTCCCCAGTAGTCAACATATCACACATACTGTCACAACAAGGCGCTGGGGAATTAAGCATGTTCTGTGTAACTCCACTGGGAAAGGATTCCTGGAAGCTTTCACCCAGTCTCTCACCCCATGTGACTTTTCCTTTGCTGTATTTGTTCTGCATCCTTTTACTATACTAAATCTTAGCTATGAGCACAACTATATGCTGTCCTATGTGTCCCCCTAGAAAATCATCAAATTTGGGAATGGTCTTGGGGACCCTCAAGACACACGTCCAAGAGTTTCTCTAGAATTGCAATCACTGGATCATGGAATTTAAAACTGGAATTCCTAGGCCATGGGATATGTACATCTTTACTACAGACTATTAAGTTTACTCTTCAAGGTAGCTGTATGAATTTACACATTCCCTTTCAACAGGGTTTGAGAGTTCCTGTTCCCCACTCCCTAGCCAATACTTGTTAATGTCAGACTTTTTTTATATTTTTGTCAATCAGATGTGTGTGAAATGTTACCTCACTGTTTTCTGTTTTTCTCCCAGGAAATACTTTACAACACACTTACTGGTTGAATATAATTGATTTGATAATAACGTATAATTTCTACCTTATTACTAAGGTATTTATTATTTCAGATGTGAGTTTAACGTTACAGGCATTTTAAAAAGTGGCATTGCACTATATAATAAAAATTAATTGGAAGTGTATGAAAGTATTAAAAGTATAGAATATTTCCTATAAGGAAAATGCTTATTCATAAAAAATTTATATCAGAAAAATAAAATTTTTCCTAAATTATCTCACATAATAGATAATTAGAAAAGTTCAACCCAAATAAACATTTCATTAAAATTCTAATTTTAAATTGCTACTCTCTGCCAGGGGAGTCAGTCTGCTAGGAAGTCACTGGACATACCTAAAACAAGTTCAGGGGCTAAAGCATACCGTAGGAGACAACACACTATTGTCATCGGCTTGTACTTTATCTAAAACCAACCTTGAGAAGTACAATATAGCTGAATTTACAGTTAGTGTATGATGAAATTATAAAATTATCACAAAATTATAATTATAATATTAGCTCATTCTCATCAAAAATCTTGCTAATATTCGTATAGCACTTCATTTTGGGAGGTTACCGATCACTGACCAAAGCTTTTATGTTCCCTTACCCTCTAACCTTGTCAGACAAGTTGCTAGACATTAACTAATAAGATACAAGCAGACTCCTTTAAGCTCTTCAATCTGATATTTATATAATGCTAGTTTTCACTCTTTATGGGCCTAAGCTGTTATATCTACTTGACATGAACTCATTAAAATTCATGAAAATTTTGGGATAAGGTGTTTCATGTTTCATAGGGGGACTATAACTTGATTTTAGTCAAGAAAATGTTTTTTAAAAATTGTCAAATCACCTAAATGAAATTTTCACTTCATATTTTTATTTTATAACTTTATTTCCCTCAAAATAAGGAGTAGGAGATATACTTCTTCATATTTAGTCTTTCTGCCTGCACATCAAAGTATTAGAATCTGTATAACAGCTGGATCAAAAGACTGTTTTTCTGTCTGTTCATTTTTTTGTACTTTATATGCATTTGTGAGGATTTCTTAAGCACAACCCATTTACTTACCTAAACTTCCAGCTGCCATTGCAGACTGCAGGGCAGTGTTCAAACTCGGGACCATCTGGTAGTAGTACACTGTATCTGCACACACACAGGCTGTGGTACCCACAACTCCTGGCCAACTCTGAATAGGTCGAGGAAACCCCACCAAGAACAAAGGAAGGGTGAAGAGGGGGAGTAAGGGAGAAGAGAGTAGTGCAGAAAAAACTATGAAGACCAACACAAATGGAGAGAAGACAATGTTGAGTACACATAAAGTGGTGGTTGATTTTCTACGTTTTTTCTCTGTCCATGACGCCAAGAGTATGGTCACAGCAAACTGCAATTTAGAGATGAATTGAATCAGACGATCACGCATGATACCAACCTGCAGAGACATAAAAATGAAGTTTTTATTCTTAAATACCTTTCATAAATTTTCAAGATCATATAAGAAAAACAGTATAATTTTATTACTGCTCCAATATTTTTGAGGAAATAGCCCTTACATGAGATCCTTTGTTATAATTTTCTCCAATCTCACAGTTAATAAATGAGACTACATTTTTAAGTTTCACCTCTCTTAAAAAAAAAGTAGTACTAAAGAGAACACAGTGCTATGTCTATCTTAAGGTTGATTAAGCTTTGCATTACATGCTTGTTAAGTCATGAGAACTAGCAGTAGTAAACAGTTAAGCAACTATCCTTAATTTATCCTTATTTTAGAGAATATTTTACAGATTAAAAAACAGACATCATGCCATAAGACAAACCTCAATAGACTGAAATCATACTAAGTGTATTCATATGAATCATGAAAAGTATGTTCTTCAATCAAAACTGAATTAAATCAACAATAGAAAGAAATCTGGAAATTAAAAGACAAATTCCTAAATAACCAACAGGTCAAAGAAGAAATCACAAGATAAACAAGAAAACATTTTCAGATGAATGAAACACACACCAAAACTTGTGATACAGCAAACCCAGTCCTCAGAGGGAAATTTATAGCTACAAATGAAAGAGCAGAAAGATCTTAAACCAATAACCTAATCTTCCACCTTAGGAAACTAGAAAACAAAGAGCAACTAAATCTCAAGTAAGCAGAGGTAAGGAAATAATAAAGATTGGAGTGGAAATTAATAAAACAGAGAATAGAAAAATAATAGAGAAAAATCAATGAAACCAAAAGCTGTTTTTTTGAGATCAGCAAAACTGACAAACCTTTAGCCAGACTGACCAAGAAAAATACATAGAAGACTCAAATTACTAAAATCAGGAAGGAAAGAGATAACATTGCCAGCAATCTTACAGAACAAAATAAAAAGAATTATAAGAGAATATTATGAACAACGATATGCCAATAAAGTAGATCACTTAGATGAAACTGACAACCTCCTAGAAAAAGACATAAATTACTGAAACCAACTCAAGAAGAAATAGAAAATCTGAATATACCTATAACAAGTAGAGAAACTGAATTAACAATTTAAAAGCTACCCAAAGAGAAAAGCTGAGGCCCAGATGGCTTCCATACTACAAAATACTACATAGTACAGAATATTTTAAGATACATACTGAATACTACATTCAAGATTATTGATATGAAATTCCCACCTCATTCTATGAGGTCACTGCTATTCTGATATCTAAACGAAAGATACGAAAAGAAAGCCACAAATATATACATCAGACAAAAATTCTCAACAAAACACTAGCCAACTGAATCCTGCAACATAAAGACAAGACTATACACCAAGACTGAGTGAGATTTATTACAGGAATGCAAGATTGGTTTAACAACTGAAAATCAATATATTACACCATGTTAGTAGATTAAAAAACCAAAACCACATGACTATTTCAATAGACATAGAAGAGGCAAAATCCAACACCCTCCAGGATAAAAAAGTTTAACTAGGAATAGAAGCAGGAATGGTAAAAGACAGACATCAACTTAATGGAGAAAGACTGAATGCTTTCCTCATTAAGATGTCCACTCTTACCTCTTCTATTCAACATTATACTGGAGGTTCTAGCCAGGGCAATTAGGTAAGAAAAAGAAATGAAAGACATCCAGATTGGAAAGGAATGGAAAGGAAGAAGTAAAACTATATCTAATTTGCAGATGACATGATCTCATATACAGAATATCCTAAGAAATCCACTAAAAATCTATTAGAAACAATAAAACATTTCAGTGAGGTTTCAGGATATAAGATTAACATTAACTAATCAACTGCAGTTTATACTTGAGCAATAAACAACCCCCAAAATTAAGAAAACAATCTACTTATAATATCATCAAAAAGAATAAAATACTTAGGAATAATATTTAATAAAACTGTAAGACTTGTACACTGAAAACTACAAAACAATGTTGACATAAAGAAGATATAAATAAACATGAAGACATGTCATGTAGATGAATGGGAAGAATTAATATTTCTAAGACAGCAACGAAGCCAAATCTAGCCTCTGTATCCCGACACTGAATTGAACCTCGGAGACAAGAGTTTTGGGTGAAGTAGAATAGTTTTATTGCTTTGCCAGGCAAAGGGGGCCACAACGGGTTAGTGTGTTCAAAACTGTGTGTCCCAAACCCGGGGGTGGCGGTGGTGGAGGTGGGGTGAGGAGTTTTATAGTCAAGGGGAGCAGTGTTGCTGGTAAGGATCAGGGTGCCTTGCTGCATTCCTTCAATCCAAAGATTATATGGCATCAGGTGATGATGGGCAAACTGTGACCTTCTCTGGAATGAAGAGTGCTTCATCAAGTAGTTCCATTTGGTGGGGGTTTTAGTTCTGCAGAAGAGCTCAAAGATATTGTTATGTGTATCCCTTGAGCGGGAACCAGGACCCTGCTCCTAAGGCTGCACTATTGTTTCTTGACTGCTCCTCATTTGTCTCTCCATCCTCTCCCTTCCCCGATTAGCAACTGTTTGAACCTGCCCTTTGGAACTCAGGGAAGGGGACACAGAAAGGTTTTTGTGCCCAGGAGCCCCACAGGGTCCTACTCGGTTTCAGCAATATTCCCCAAATTTTATCTACAGATCTAAGGCAATCTCTATCAAAGTCTCAGATGCCTTTTTGAAAAACTTGAAAAGCCAAAACCAATATTTCTATGGTAACACAAAGGTACCAGAATAGTCTAAACAATCTTGAAAAAGAAAAACAAAGTCATAACATTCACACTTTCCAATTTTAAAACCTACTACAAAGCTACTGTAATCAAGACAGTGTAGTACTGGCATAAGGACAGACATATAGATGAATGGAAAAAAGAATAAGAGCCCAGAAATAAACCCTTACATTTGTTTGATTTCTGGCAGGGTGCCAAGAAAAGTCATTGAGGGAAGAATAGCTTTTTCAATAAATTATGCTGAAACCATTGTACATTCATATACAAAAGAATGGATTTGGAATCCTACCTCATAACATATACAAAAATTAACTCCGAGTAGATCATAGACCCAAATGTAAGAGCTAAAACTATAAAACTCTTAGAAGAAAACATAGCAAATCTTTACGATCTTGAATAGGCAGTGTTTATTAGATATGACACCAAAAATACAAGCAACAAAAGAAAAAAATAGATAGATTGAATTTCATCAAAATTAAAACTTTTTTGCTTCAAGGGACATTATCAAGAAAGCTAAAGACAACCTACAGAATGGGAGAAAACTTTTGCTTGTCATATATCTGTCAAGGAACTTGTATCCAGAATATATAAAGAACTCTTAAACTTAACAGTAAGAAGTCAAGTAGCCCAGGTAAAAATGGGCAAAGAAGTTGAACAGACATTTCCCCAAAAACATACACATAGGGCCAAGAAACATATGTAAAGATGAATCATTAGTATTCAGAGAAATGCAGTATCAAAATCGTGAAAAGACCCATGACAATGCTATAATGAAAAAGTCAGATAACAACTGTTGGTGAGAATGTAGAGAAATTAGAATCCTCATACACTGCTGGTGAGAATGTAAAATGGTGCAATCATTTTGGAAAAATGTTTGGCAATACCTTGAAGTGTTAAGACATAAAGTTCGTGTGTAACTGAAATTCCAGTCCTAGGTAAACATACCTGACAGAAACGAACTCACATGTCCATATAAAAACTTGTACTTGAATGTTCATAGCAGCATTATTCATAATAGTCAAAAAGTGGCGGCAACCTAAGTATCTATCATTTAATGAATGAATCAACTAAATGTGATATATCCATACAATGGAATATTTTTCAGCAATAAAAAAGAATACTGATACATGCTACAACATGGATGAATCTTGAAAACATTAAGAGAAAGAAGCCAGATGCAAAAGACAACATACTGTATAATCATATTCGTGTGAAATGTCCAGAATTGGCAAATCCTTAGAGACAGAAAGTAGATTAATGGTTGCTGCTGCTGGAGTAGGGAGTAGATGAGATGGAGAGCAGAATGGAAATGACTATTAATGTGTATGAGGTTTCTTTTTGGGATGTTGTAAATATTCTAAAATTAGATTGTGGTGATGGCTGCAAAGTTCTGAATATACATCGCAGAACCTTACACTTTAAGTGAATGATTTTATGGTATATGAAATACATCTCATTAAAGCTGTTAAAAATATATTTACCAGTAAGAGTCTGATTCCTGTATCCAGATTTCGGTTCCACCATATGTCTGTATTGGAGATCAACAAGTGCACTGATGATACAATGACTGTCTCCAATAAAGCATTTTCTGTATTCTGCCATACCTGCAGTACACAAATTTACCACTTTATTAGGCAGAATTTGATAATCTAAGTAAACTGTTAGAGTAAACAAAATCATAATTAAATTTGGGAATAGTAAAATACTATTAAGTGCATATTAGCATTACCATTCTAAAAGCTCTTGTGAATCCAATGGAGACAGACACAGAGTGGAGTCCTTGTAAGGAACTGTCCAATGAAAGAAATGCTATCATAGCAAAAGGTGACACTAAGGCAAACAAGAAAAGAGACAAATTTAATAAAGGCAAAATAAGCCCTTCTACCATATTTTATTTTGGCCTATGAGTATTTTTATGAGCACATTTAAGCAATGAGCTAAAAAAACCAATAAATAAACCAAAACATAAACGAATAAACACTTGTATGCAGTATAACATTATACAAATACGGGAATTCCATAATATTTTTGTACACTTCCTAGATAAAATACAAGTTTATTAATATTTGTCTTCCTACCTAGATTTATCAAAATCCGTCTGACAACACCAATCTTCATGAGCGTTGTTTGCTTCTCTAGGAATAAAGTCACAGTCCGCACATGCTTTGGATAGATAGGGTTCCGGAAAATTCCAAATATATAGACACTTTGAATTTCTTTAAGTATCCATAGTATTATAAATAATATCATCAAAATATAGCCAACAATAGCCTGGGGACTGTTTTTGGAATTCTGTGAGAAACCAGCAAAGTGATGCAACAAACCAGTTTCTAAGAGAGCCAAGACTAATACAATGCTGTAGAAAAGGTATTCCTTCCAAGTAAACTGTTTTTCCAAACCGTTGGGTAAAGCCTTAGATTTGGTTCCAACTCTGTGTCCGGTCACACTGTGTTTGAAGCCAAAAACAATCTCACTTAGGTTAAGACTCAGTAAGAATCCAAGTCCAGTCATGAAAAGAACCACACCAACAGTGCTGGGAATGAAATATGATGTTACAGCTGTTCCAGTAGAAATGATGAACATTATTAACAACCTGCAGAGGGGAAAAAAAAAGATCTGCTTGAAAAGAAAAAATGTTCTTTGAGAATAAATTACATATCACTTTAATATTTAAAATAATTACCGTAGGTGGGTTGACATAGATGAGCCTCCAAGGCCAAACTCTAAAACCTGCTCCATTGCCCATAAGAAAAGTGCATCAGGTGGGGGTAGGGTCCCGAGTGCCCACAGAAAGGGTAAAAATATAAACAAGATGTGTAAAATCTGATTAATTTGTTCTAGAACTGGTATATTTACCATAAACCTACAATAAAAAGAAAATATTTAAATCATACAAAACAATAAATAGAAGATCTTTAAAGGAAAAACAAAACACATACACCTCCCTTTATACCCCACCTCTGCCCTGAAACAAAAGAATATTTACAGGAAGGTCCTAATCCCAAATTGCAAAAGATCAAAAACATAAATTGTGACCACTGTCCTTCCTCTATACCAGCAAGTACTCAATTGTATACAAGTGTAGTACAGGACAAAAATATTTCTCCCTTAAATCTTTAAATTACATTGGCTGCAATTCCACCAATGATTCTATAGAGTTTAAAAATTTTAAATTTAAAATTGCAAGCAACCCTAGGAAAGCCAAAGCCTTCCTGCTGTTCATATCTTAGTAGCTAGCAAAGAGAGTAAGCTCTTCTCTTTTTCCTACTCTCTCCTGTACTGTCTTGCTCCCAGGTCTGGGAATTTGAAATCAGTATATTTAAAATCAGAGGTCAGCAACATTAGGTTATGAACATGTCTCTGGGTTAGCCTGGGAATTTAACAAACATATAATATTGTTTCTATTTTGTATAAACAGTGGTATGGATTTGAGAACACAAACTTGTACAACACAGTCTCATAAATTAGTGAAGGCTTCTATCTTAACTGGAGGAACTGGTTTTTGGTACAGCACTTACCAGTTAAACGTAACATTATCAAATTGTTTCAAATAATTTAACAAAAACTTTAAAGCACAGAGGAATAAACATTATCAATATGTTACTAAGTTTTTGGAATAAGGTTAGCCAAACACCTTGCCTGGAAGCCAACAACGCTGTAGTACTTATGGAGTTCCAAAGACAACTTTCAAAAGAGAAAACTAAATCTCAAAACTTATAGCATAATAATTGTACTTGAATATCTGAGCTGCTAGGAATCAAAGTCAAGGAGAAAGCCAACTAATATTTATACACTTAAGTGTATGTTAATAGCCGAGAAGCAAATGCATAGCAACTATGATTATAATAATGGTATAATGTGCTTCCTTACACAGATATCAGGACGATGCCAGCTAATGCACTCTGCTTCATAATGTATGTCCTTCAAATTTTTATAAGCAGAGAGAATTAATGAACACAAGGTTAACAATGTGATGCTAAATTAGAGGATACTTTCTGTAGTGTAGTTTTTAAAAAAAATTCATTTCATTCTGAGAAGAAAACACTCCAGTAACAAAAAAGAAAATCAAACCACACACAATAAGCCATAGGAAGGTCAAGGAAAACATGTAGATTTGTATAGTTTTTTTGTTTTTTGTTTTTTTAAAAGACAACACTTCTCTTGCTAACATATTCAAGGAAAGGATAATTTGTGTAAAAATAATGTATACTTAGGAAATATGTTATCCAAGTTCTATTTTACCCCCCAATCTCTTTTTGTTCTTAAGTAAACAAGCAATAGTACAGAAAAGTGTTTATACACAAGAATAGCACAATATAAGAATACATAATTGAAATAACCAAACATTGTGATTACTTTCCTGTGTGTATGACTCAGGATGATCAAACAGATGATTACTGTGGTTCTTTTATAACAGAAAAATGTTTAAATCCTAAAATTTCTGATAACATTACAGTAATTTTCTAGAGCAAAAAAATCTAAGCCCACAAGAAAAAACTGTTTTTCTAATAACCATAAAAATATTTCAAATTCTGTACACTAAGATCCACATGCCCAGAAAAAGATGTTCCTAATATGTAGTGGCTAAGATGATATAAACATGCATCATTCATTCAAACAGTTCCTGAGAGTCTATGAACTAAGCACTGAAGGTTTCACACTTGTCTTTGATAAAAATGCATAGAAAAAGTCATTTAAAATTATTAATATACAACTGTACTAGGTAGACTAAAGAATGCAGGAAGAGAAAAGATCACTACACTATAGGGCTTGTCTCTTCAACTTTCACATTCTCTGAAAGAATATTAAGATACAACTTGACATATCTGACAACTCTCCAAATTCGAATAGAGTACACATTTCATACAGTATTTATATGCAGTATCACACCTACTACTGCATAAAGAACATCTTGATTATTATTTTGTTAATAAGAAGATAAAATTTTTCTAAAATTGAAATGGGAGGTTAATTTTTCTATATAAACTTCATATTTTCTTTAAAAATAGGTTCGAGGACTGCCTCTTTTATAGTTGAAAAAATCTTTTTATAATCATTAAACTGTAAACATTAAAACTATATTAAATCCAACTTGAATATAGTAAAAAAAACATTTTATGCTCTTTTATTGAGAAATGAAAAATGAGTAGTCAAGGTAACCAAATTATAAATTAACTGAGATTTTTAAAAAGATTAAAAGAACCTAGGGCACCATTTAAATGCAAAGATGTTTTATAGCAGGTAATTTCTGATATCAGAAATGGCACAGTGAGATAGTAACTCAATAATTTATATTCTGAAAATAAGAATGTTATAAATAAATCTTTCAAAAGGGGTCAAATGTATACATATACATTTAAACTCAATTTTATTGCTAATTTTTCAAAATCAAGTTTTTAATTGTAATATATTTTATAGTTAGTAAATGGTTGTGGTACTAAGAAATCAATTACAATAGAATTTCCATAAATTAATTCTCCTCTTACAATATTTGATTAGGTGAAGAACTACAAGGGTATTATAGTGTTCTTTGGTCCATAAATGTAGCACAATTAGAAGAGGTTAAGAGTTAAGGAATAGCAGAAATCTAAGAATCGGTCAGTTTCAGTACACAAACTGGCTATATATTTTTAAATGCCTTGTCTTCTTTTGGGCTACCATAACAAAGTACCATAGACTAGGTGGCTCAAATAGAAATTTATTTCTCACAATCTGAGATCAGAGTGCCATTACGATTGGGTTCGGATGAGAACTCTTCCCGGCTTGCAGAGAGCCAACTTCTCACTGTATTCTCACATAGTGGAGAAAGAGAGAGAGATGGAACTCTCTGGTGTCTCTTCTTATAAGGGCACCAATTCCATCAGGAACTAGGGCCACCCTGATGACCTAATTACCTCCCAAAGACTCTCTTAAAATATCACTACATTGGGGGTTACGGCTTCAACAGAAGAATTTTGAAGAGACACACACATTCAGCCCGTAACATTCCACCCTGATCTCCCAAATTCATGTTCTTCTTACATGCAAAATACATTCATTCCTTCCCAACAGCGACAAAATTCTTAACTCATTCCAGCATCAACTCTAAAGTCCATCCTGAGGCAAAATCCTCTCCAGCTGTGAACCTGTGAAACCAGAAATGCTTTGTGCTTCCAAAACACAGTGGTGGGACCGGCAAAGGACGGACATTCCCATCCCAAAAGGGAGAAACAGGAAAGAAGGGGTGATAGGTCCCCAAAAAAGTCCAACATCTGGCAAGGCAAATTCCATTAGATTTTAAGGTTGTAGAATAATCCTCTTTTGTTTCATACTCTGCCCTCCAGGCCCCCAGGGCAGCAACATCACCCAAAAAGTTCTAGGTGAGGGTACCACCCCAAGAGCTCTGCAGGGTATTACCAGCCCCAAGGCTTCCAGAAGAGGCTTTCTAGCTTGTTGAAACCTGATAATCTCTGAATCACTTTTCAGATCATTTGGTGCTTAAGAAAAGCGCCATGTTCACCATCAAATAGCTCTAATATCCCTGTCCTGTCAAATTTAATAACTTTAATAGCCTTCATCCATTACATCTTTAGTTCAAACTGGAAGTGTTTCTGCTCTTATAATCCCAGAAACTCTTCACTGAGCGACAGTCCAGCCACACCCCTGGTGTTCCCTTCAGAACATGCTTTCTCATTTTTTGCAATATGTATACACTGAAAATTTCCCAAATCTTCAAGTTCTGGTTCCATTTTGTTTAGCAATTGCTTCTTCAATTCATCTCTCTCCTTTTATATTTTACTATAAGCAGTCAGGAGAAATCAAGCTGTTCATTCAACACTTTGCTTAGAAATCTCCTCGGCTATATATCCAAATGTATCACTCTCAAGTTCTACCTTTCACAAAATATTAGAAAATGATTCAGCTAAGTTCTTTGCCACTTTATAACTAGGATCGCCCTCTCCTCCAGTTTCCAATAACATGCTCTCACTGCTGTCTTGAGACTTCACCAGAATTACCTTTAATGTCCACATTTCTAGCACACACTTCAAAACTCTTCCAGCCTCTACCCATTACCCAATTCCAAAGCCACTTCTACACTTTTAGGTGTTTGTTATGGGAGCACCCATCTTCTTGGTATCAAAATCTTAGCCAGCTCATAATCAAATAACATAGTCGGGTGACTTAAACAACAGAAATTTATTTCTCACAGACCTGGAGTCTGGAAGTCTGAGATTAGAGTGCTACCATGATCAGGGTATGGTGAAAACTCTCTTGCTGGCTTGAAGACAGTTGCCTTCTTATTTCATCTTCATATGTTGGAGGGAGAAATCAGGCTCTTTAGTGTGTCTTCCTATAAGGGTACTAATCCCATCATAGCAGGGCCCCACCCTCATTATCCTAATTAGCTCCCAAAGACCCCATCTCCAAATATCACCACATTGGGGGTTAGGGATTTAATATATGAATGGGGGTGGTACAAACACTCAGTCCATAAAGTGGTGCCTGTACATTTCTACCTGTGATAGAGAATGCTGCAATCTATAGGAACAGAGAAAGAAATGTCAGATTTAGAAAAGGCAAGCAAAAGAAGTCATCAAATAATTTTGTTTAAAATTGCTATTTTCTATTTTTCTTCCATAGCAAATTGATTTAAAAAAAACAATATTCTATATAATTACTATAACAAAATTAAATAAGTTATTCTATTCATCTTAAATCCACTCAATCTGTGCATTAACATTTATGTGTATAAATTCTCTATTTTCCCTTCACAGGAAAGTTCCATCTCATTTCACAGGTTTCACCCAGGCTATCTTACAGATTCATAGCTCCTTATTTAAAGTAAAACACAGGATTGAAATTTTGCTTATTTATCTTATAAAGGGTTTTCTTTTTACTCTTCAACAAGATTTAATTACTGCTTTAGGATGAATGTTTAACAAAGATTAGTCCTATGAGATTATTCATCAAAACAACCTATCACCCAATGGTTTGGTGACTTTTAATTCATAGATTCTTTTCTTTTAATACTAAGGAGAGTGCTCTTACTATGTATGCTTAAAAATAAAGTTATAAAGTATTTGATAGCTTATTACCTGTGTGCAAGATCTATAGAAACAAAGAAAAAAATATAAAGAGGTCTCATAAGAGGAGTGATTTCATAAGTATCCTGGGTTTGGAAAGTTGCAGTCTCTGTAGCTGTGTTTACAATTAATGAATATTCTCCTATACACAATGTCATCCATCCAAAGAAAAATAGTAGAACAGTGCCTCCTGCGCTGCTATAAAGCAGGGTTATTCTATTCGGAAGCAAATACCATGTTCCAAGACCACACACTAAGCCAGCAAGAACAGAATGAAAAACGGTATTGGCTGTATGTTTTTTGCCAGGAATTAGAAATTTGATGGTCTCAGCACCAGCACAACTTGTAAATTCATGTTCATCTTCCTCTGCTAAGATATCTGTGGTCAGCATTCTTTCCACTGTCACCCATCTGCTTCTGGCGTATAAACTTGTGAACTGGATGACAAATGCAGTGAAAAGCATTAGTCCACCTGAAAGTGCTGCTGTATAATAGTCCTCCAGGATGCCTAACTGGTACAAAAGTGTTCCTATTCCACCCAAAACCCATGGCATCAAAAAAAGGATAATCTGATTAACATATATGTAAGGAGGGGCACAATAGCCTAAATTGAGTCGAGGGCCTCCAAGAACAGTCTGTGGAAAGCGCTTCAGAAAGAAGTCCTGTTTGTAATCATTCAGCAGAGGCACATCTGGACTCATCCTTCTCACTCAGGATTATTCTGAAAGTCACATCCTTTTCTGTAACACAGCAGTCTCTAAGAAAAAGAAAAAAAAAACTGTTTGAAAATATCATACTTAAAACATGAGGGAGAAAAATCCCATATTTCCATTAGTTAGTTCCCTAGTGCAGGATTTGTAACTTCACTTCTCTAGCTCCTTCCCATTGCCTGACACATACTTGGCACAAAACAAATAGTTGCTAAGTACTTTTTTTTTAATTTGGAAAAAAGTCATATTCACTATTAATTTACCTGGAACTTAGATAAACTTGGAATTTCAGATTTTGAGGTCAAAGGAAAGTTCAAAAAGCCAGTACTCTCAATTCAAAGCTACTAGTGGTTTAACCAATCATTTCCCTGAGTGCTTCTGTTGTTTGTTTCTTAACTTTTCTATTACAAGGGTAAGCAAAATTTTTCTATAAAGGGTCAAATAGTAAATATTTTTCTGTTACAATGACTCAACCCAGCTGTTGTTGCAGAAAAGCAGCCATAGATAAGTGGATATTAGTAGCTGTCTTCCAATATAACTTTATAGTATTTATATACAAACAGGCTATGGGCCAGATTAGCCTGTGGGCCATAGTTTGCCAACCCCTGCTCTATAAAATAAGGATATTCTCTATAATTCCTTTGAATTGAAATGGAAATAGAAGTGGAAAGTAGAAATACTAAGTGTGAGTCACATCACTTAACAATTATAGTAAACTTTTCTGATAATTCAAAAAGTCAAACCCTGCTAAAATAGCATTTCAATAAAAAGCCACTGGCAGCTCAACATGCAGTAGGAAGGACAATGAACTGGAAACCAAAGGACTCCAAGAGTCAGATTACATGCTTATTATTAAGCATATTATTACTATGTTACCACATGCAAACCACTTCATGCCTCAATTTTTAGCCTCTCTTTCTCTTGTCAGTTTCCAAAATCTACCAGAACTAGCAAAACATGAAATAATAAAAGGACCCATATATGCTTTAGTCTAGATTATTTTCATTTAAGGGCCATAAAAAACTAAGGATCAAATAATATGGATTCCGTTCTCTTCAACTTTCCCTTTTCCTGTTTCTGAAAAACAGTTGCCTGTTAACAAGATCAGCTAGTGAAGCATTACCTCAGGGGTCATATACTAAGTTAGAAATGAAAAATTAAGTTTAAAGCCATCTTCATAAGGACAGACATATAGACCAATAGAATAGAATAAAGCGTCCAGAAATAAACCCTCACATATACAGTCAAATATTTGACAAGGGTGCCAAGATCATTCAATGAGGAAAGAACAGTCTGCAAAAAATGGTGCTGGGAAAACTGGGTGTCCACATGCAAAAGGATGAAGTTAGATCCTTACCTAACACCATATACAAAAGGTAACTCAAAATGGATCAAGAGCTTTAAAGTATAAGACCTAAAACAACAACATTCTTAAAAGAAAACATAGGACAAAGCTTCTGATATTGGATTTGGCAATGATTTCTTGGGTATGACACCAAAGGTACAGGTAACAAAAGAAATAGACAAAATGGACTTCACAAAAATTAAATCATGTGCATCAAAAGACACTATCAACAGAGTGAAAAGACAATTGACAGAATGGGAGAAAAAAATAAGTTGTGAATATCCAGGATATATAAAGACCTCCTAAAACTCAACAACAGAAAAACAATCTAATTCAAAAACTGGCAAAGAACTTGAACAGACATTTCTCTAAAGAAGATATATAAATGGCAATAAGTACATGAAAAGATGCTCAACATCACTAATCATTAGGGAAATGCAAATCAGAATATAATGAGATAACACTTCATGTTCATTAGGATAGCTACTATCAAAAAAAAAAAAAAAACCCAGAAAATAAGTGTTGCCAAGGATGTGGAAAAATTGGAACTCTGTGCACTGATGGTAGGAAGGTAAAACGGTACAGTTGCGGTGGAAAACAGTATGGTAGTTCCTCAAAACATTAAAAATTGAATTACCATATGATCTAAGAATTCCACTTCTTGATATATACTACAAAGAATTGAAAGCAGGGTCTCAAAGAAATAATTTGTATACTCACGTTTACAGCAGCATTATTCACAATAATTAAAAGGTGGAAGCAAACCAAGTGTTCATCAAAGGATGAATAAATAAGCAAAATTTAGTATATACACACAATGGAATATTATTCACCCTTAAAAAGAAAGGAAATCCTGCAAATTGCTATATCATGGGTGAAACTTTAGGACATTATGCGTGGTGAAATAAGCCAGTCACAATAAGACAAATACTATATAAATCTACAAGGTACTTAGAGTAGTCAAAATCACAGACAGAAAGCAGAATAGTGGTTGCCATGGGCTGAGGGGAGAGGAGAATGGGTCGTTACTGTTTAATTGGTATAGAGTTTTACAAGATGAAAAGAATCACGGAGAGAGACAGTGATGATGCCTGCACAACAATGTGAATGCATTGAGTATCACTGAACTGTACACTTAGAAATGGTCAAGATGGTAAATTTTATGCTCTGTGTATTTTACCACACACAAAAAATTTAAAGCCATCTTAAAGTAACCTTTCTTCCTATCAGTTTAGAAGAGTCTTTCTGCAAGTCACTTCTACCCAACCAACATCAGCCATGGAGGGAGCTTTTGGGTATCACAAAAGGTTTTTTGGTCATCACTAAGAATTACTACCTTAGAGCACCTCTTGCTATACTTTTGGGAAATTCTTTATACTGTAAATGTTTATCATCTTATATCTTCCAGCTACTAGCCTTAGCTCTATATAGAAAGTCATAGCTTTTACTCACATGACAGCCCTGCAAGTACTCACAAAATAACAGAACCACAGGGCCAGATGGAACCTTAATGGTTGATCGTTTAATCTCAGGAAATGAAAAGATTGCCTTCCTCCCCTCTGAATGAGCATATCTCCTGTACCGATGTCAGTGATGTCAGTGTATTGTATTGATATGCTTGTTCAGTACAAGCCATAGGTAAGTAAGGACATGCTCCTATGAGTGTGGGTAAAGATTCTGATTTCAATTATCTATGGATGATACTATCAGACAGGAAATTGAGCTTGGATGGCTGGCCTGAGCATTTTGAAGAATCTAGATGTACCTGAAATTTCCCCAGGGAGTTAGGTAAAAGCTGACCCCTCCTTTTCCACTGAGGCAAGTGAGGAACAAGGTGAGATGGCTCGCTGGGAAAGGAAGCCAGAAATCGAAGATATCTTATAAACTAGATTATCTAGCTGCATGGTACTATCCATATTCATTAACCTTTTAGTACTTCTGAGTCTTTTGTAAATTTAGTTTAAATGTTCACCCATTTGATGGAATACTCTGTGATTAGATTCCAAACAGTGGAATATTCTCAAGATCTACTGTTGATTTGGAAACATGGAAAGATGCCCACAATATACTGCAAAGTACAATAAACACACTGATGATCCCATTTGTATAAAAAAAAAAATAGTACACACACTTGTCCGTATACATGGTTATTCGGTGTGTATAAGTGTAAAAAATTTCAAAAGTCATACTCACTAGGCTGTGTTTGTGTGTATTTTACATATAACATTTTGACACCTCTTTAAAGTACCAAATATCCTCTAGAACTCTCAACCCATGCCCTGTAAACACATCCTGTGGCCTTCTGGCCGTCTGCTCATACCCTTTCCTTTGCCCAGGATGTCTTCTCCTTCCTTCCATAATTACTAATCTTAGTCAACTTTCAAGATTCAGTTTAATCCATACTGAAAATTTTGCAGAGCACTTAGACCAAACTATGCCTCTCTCCTATCTGTGTATCAAAAACATTGCTTGTTCATAGTACTCATCTTGTAACATGTATCAACAGAGGGCATTTCTTGTATTGTTCACCTCTTTACATGTTATCTTTTCAAATGTTTTTCTTTTCTCTGCTATTAAGTTATTTGTGGGTAAGGGCCAAATCTTGAGATACTTCTGGTTCTCCATAATATTTAGTAAAATACTGTACCTTGGCACAGAAAGGCATGTATTTAGTACATTACTGGCATAGCTTAAGTAAGATGATTAAAGTTGGAGAACATTAAATATTGTTGTTAAAAGGGAAGTTGGATGTTATTTACTGTTTTTGAAAACTTCTTCCAGCATATCCTGCCTCATTCAAAACAGTAAATCCATAAACTCTTTATTCCCAGTTTTTAAATGTTTGGAAAGTATCTTCATTTATTTTTCTTATGGACTAAATAATGGCGTCTAATGATAGTACTATTGGCTCAGAGAAGATTTTGCCTAGAGCAGTATAGTATCCCAGTAATACTGGAGCAGGATGGGCCTGAGGGAGAAACATGGCTGGGTTTCTCCCATGGAGAAGGAAATGGCTAGAGGATTTTAACATGTCAGAAGTCCAATTTTAATTTGCTCCTTGTCTTATGCTA